CTTGAGACTCGTTCATTCTTGCCTAATACTGTTCGTGCTGTGGGGTGGGCTAATTGAAGTACAAATTAGCACCGTGATCTTAACTAAACCGCAACTATGGTAGGTGAAGATGTAGTACCAGCTGTCCCAGCTCTAAGTCAATTAAAGCGGTCTATGGGAGCCTATAAGGGGCGCCTGAGCAAAGCACGTGAGGAGTGTCGTACGGTCAGGCAAGATCAAGACGTAGACTGGGAGGAACTAGAGAGTTGCCTGAAACCTTTGGAGCAAAGACTGGAGGCCTTTGAGAGATCATTTATCCTTTATGAGACAGAGGCCTATACTACAGGTGAGTCTGAATATACAGTCGAAGTAGCAAGGACAGACTATGATGAACGAAGGGCAGAGTGTAAAGCAGAGATGAGACTCTGCAGGCATTTAATAAAGACTTTGAAGGCCGGTACAGCAGGGGGAGCAAATGTTTCAAGGAACACGAACAAAAGCACGCCTGTTAATGTGTTGCCCAGATTGCCCCAGTTGAATTTACCAACGTTCGACGGAACCTTAACAGAGTACATTGCTTTCTGGGATCAGTTTAAAGCCCAGATAGATGACAGAGTCGATTTGTCAGATGCCGTCAAATTACAATATTTACGTTCACAGCTCAAGGGTAAAGCCTTGGACTTGGTCCGGCATTACCAAACCACCGACACCAATTCCCAAAACATGCCAAAGACCAATTAAAGGACATGTTTGGCAACACTGAGGAGATAAAGGTAGCTATACTTTATCGGTTGTTGGATCTAGAGGCTTGTCGCCATGACCCTCAGAGCCTAGAGAAGTTCCGAATCGAAGTTATGAGTTTGACGAATAGTCTTAAAGATTTACATGATTGGGGTAAGTCGGAATGGTTCATCAGTCAGGTGATTCAGAGGAAACTGACTGGCACTACAGTGTATGAGTTACACTTAAAATATCAGACGAATAGGTTCACGATACAACAAATCGTTGAGGGGTTGGGAGATCTCGTTTCTCATTTGAGTACAGGTGTGAGAGAAGAGTCACCACCATCGCCACATAAAAACCCAGAAAGTCACTCAAAGATCTCGAGAGATCAGTCTAAAGCTCGTACGACTAACGTTGGAGTGTACTATGGTAAAGAGGTGCCTAAGGTAAGAACCTCTAAGCAGAACCTCAGAGGCACTCATGCCAGAATATGTGTGTTCTGCAAAGGCGAACATGCTAGCACGAGTTGCTCGGAGTATATAAACACTGAGCAGTAGGCACAGAGACTAAGGGAGTTGAGACTCTGCTTCAAGTGTTGTGGGGAACACTTTGCGAGAGACTGTGGCACCCAGCTCAGTGAGTGTCGAGTCTGTTGCAAAGGTAAGCACCATACTGCACTATGTCCCAATAATTTAAGGGAACCCCAGGCTAGTAGGGATATCTCTCAGGTAGAGATAGAAAGTGAGTTGAGCCTGAAATGGTAGCCAGCGTGATTGTGGGAGTGAAGTCTCTAATCCGAGTGTGAAAATCACGGAGGTGCTGCCCTACCTACAGTCATGGCAAAGGTTGTGAATGGGCACAGGTCCGAAACAACCCGATTATTCTTTGACCCAGGAGCACAAGTATCCTTGATAACAAAGAAGTTGGTGGCTAAATTAAAGTTGAAGGCCACAAGGAAAGTTAGTATGATGTTGGGAGGGGCTATAAGTCAGGCCCACCCAAATCTTATGATGTGGTGGATGTCACAGTCAAATTAGGTGGACATTGCAGAGACATTACAGCCTTGGAGGTAGAGACATTACCCAGGGCAATTACAGCAAGAGGTCTTGCTGCAGCAGCTAAGCGATTGAAAGACCTTGACGTGAAGCTGGCAGACCAGGGAATTACCGCTGACACAGTCAGAAATGTAGGTATCCTGGTGGGAGCCAATCATATAGATGACTTCCTGTCTACACGACGGACGTTTAAGGAAGGAATTGGTTTATACAGATCCCCAGTAGGATACATCATAGGCGGCAGGATTCCACCTGAATTCCCTGCCACGCCAGATAGAGGAGAAGCTGTCCCCATGATAGCTGGGGGAGTAGTGATAATGAATACCAGTATACACGATGAACCGCCAGGGAAGCTGAACCAGGTAGGGAGTGACGAACACTCGGCCACCTTGGGAAAACACTTTTACAGGGTACGTAAAGAGGGAGATAGATTGCCTTTAAATCCAGGGAACCTCGTAACAGTGGGAGGAAAGGCTACCAAGGTGTGTGGGCCACTGGGTGGGAAAGTACGGAGCCACTCAGTCAAGGCTAGACATACGAAAGACGTTAAAGTTAAAGCAAAGGGTGCTAAGACCACCGGAACCAACAAGTTTACACCCCCAGAGGTCCACGCAGGGGAAACTGGATGGTTGAAGTTTGACTGGAGTCTGTTCTACGAGAGTGGCCGGATGGCACTCATGTCCAGGGTCCGCTGTGGGGGCTCGCGGAAGGTGAATTTGATTTAGACTTAGCGCCTACCTTCG